GAGCATTGCAAACACATTGCGGGTAGTAATGTGATGTCGAAACTGGTCAAGTTTGCTCATGCTGACGGGGGTTGGGAAGTACATTTCGTACGAGATCTGCCCGTCAGCCTCCCAGCTGTTGTCTTCCGAAACTGGTGGTGTCGGGTGCCCGCCACGACCGATACCCCCTGCAGCAAGATGTTGCCCGTGTGTGTTATGCCGTTGCAGCATCGGTGGTGCGCCGGCAGGCGATGGTGGCAAGTGGATATCCTCTTCTGTCGAGCCCTCTCGTAAAAGTGTAATGAGGAATCGAGACTCGGTCGCCTCAATGATGTGCGAAGACAAGCGAAAAGACGGGTTTGGCCGCGGAGATTGACCCTTGGTCCCAAAGAACACCAGCACATCTCCGTTGGGGTCCCACAGCTCTGGATCCTTCCGCAGCTTATTCCAGCGCTGAACTGGTCTTCCAGCTCCTATCCACCGCTTGATAGGAGGCGCTCCTGAGGAGCCCGGTGTGGGTGGTAGCTTCCCGGAGTGGAGGCGACAGCATTCCTGTGTCGTCCCAAGGAACCCCGGGATGTGGTCCAGATGGCGATGGTTGATACTGGATGGGTGAAACGTCGGCATCATAGCCGTCGTTGAAGTCAGCTGAAATGGGAGAGGGTCGCACAGTGGCCGAAGACTCTGGTCTAAAGTCGCCAGCCTTCCCAGCGTTGCTCCCCTTCTTGTCCTTCTTCTTGAAAGCAAAAGTCTTGGCCAACCCCTTCCGAAAGTCATCACTCCTCTTGTCCAGCATGCTTCGCAGCCCGGACTTTTCTATCCCTGACACATCTTCCGTCTTGATGACCGGCCGCCGCGCACGAGCATAGGCAAAATCGTTGAGCGGCCTATTCCGCTGGGAAGTGCTTGCGCCGTCTCGTCGTCCATCCACACTCGATCCACTCTGACTTCCACTGCTCTGAGGGACATAGGAGGGAACGTCTCCTCGATATACCATCATCTCATCTTCGCGAGCATGCTCAGAGAACTTCAAGAATCGCGCGTTTGTTGTTCCGACCCCTGTCACAAGATCCCTCTCCTGGCGGAGCGCTGGCATGGACCCTATCGGGTAATCGCTAATGGTGACATTGTCGGAGCTGGTGGTTGATTTTGCCCGGGCTCTACCATGACCTTGTTGCTCCCCCGTCTTCGTCTCGGTAATCTTTTTGCGCACGTAGGCGCTGCGTCCAGACATGATGCTAGTCCAAGAGGCTCAAGAGAGCCGTATAGCTGAAAGTAAGGTTGGAGAAATCGTGCGTGAAACTAGGTCGAATGTAGGGTGTAGCTTGAACATGGGCGGGGCACGGCAGAGTTTTGATGGGAACGGCGTCTGTGATCACGGGTGATCGTTGCGGGCCGTTTCTGCACTCAAGAGGCGCTTGCAAAAATCTGTTGACTGCCGCTTCGGCTCCGGTGGAGGGCGTTGGACTGCAGATGGACGGCAAAGTTGAGACTCGTCAGCAGTTATATTGACGTGGGTAGAGGGTGGGAAAGGAGCGTATGTCGCGCAAGAAAGAAACAGGAACCGTCGAGGTCGAGAGCAAAGGAGGGGAAGAAAAAGATGGGTGGAAATTCTCGTCGACGAAAAGGAACGGGATGCTGCTTGCTTTTTCCCAATGTGGCGGCGAGTGGGAGTCCGTCTTCCCTTACATGTATCGTTGGTTCTCAGGCCTCTCCTATTCGAGAATGCTGCGTCAGAGACGGGGACCAAGCCGATTGCTCGGGTCAAGGCTGTATGCAGTCGCAATCCTCGTCTGGAATCTCGGCGCACTCCTGCAGGCCGGGTGAGGTATCAACGTTGCGGGCTGCTTATCGGCCGGGCAATAATAAGGTGCCAAGACAACAAGAAGGGCCGGCAGTAAGCAGATGCAATACTTGGGAGCTGATCAGAAACACAAAGGGGAAGGAAAGATGAAGAAAAGCAAAGGCGGATCAGCTTGATCTACAACAGTTCACGAGGAAAGCTATCCATCGTGGGCCAGAACAAGAGCCATGCGAAGTAGGTACGTGATATGATGCCCTAGGAGATTTATGTCGCCCAAGCTGGTACCGTGGAGCTGGGGTCTGGGGATCAGGGCTTCCTGAACCATCCAGTTTCCCGGGCGGCACGATAGTGATGCACCATCGTGTACCCTGTCCCAATATGGAAGAGGGGGCTACCCTACAACGGTGCGACCTTCTGATGCAGGACGAGATGACCGATGAGGTTGTCGAGGGCTCCAAGGCAGAGGTTGTGTGTGGAGGGAGCGTCTGGGCCTGTGATCCCCCTGGCAGTCCACTAGGCATTGACTGCATGGCACTAGCGGATAAGGTATGATTGACGACTGGGGAGAGGTCTGGGCAGTTGATAAGGAGACGTTGAGCCGCGGGATGTGTAATGGCGATGAAATGCGTCTTTTTGATAGGAGGTTGCGGTTGCAAATAGCTCGAGTGTTCGCCTGTGATGCTTGTGATAAGTGTTCCAAGTGGTTTCCTGCTGACAAAGGTCGCGTTCAAGGGCGTCGTTGACGCGCTGCTGAGTGGCATGAAACACTGTTGGCGCAGGCTGTCTGATATTGCGACGGTCGGTCTGCAATGAGGTCACGTCGGGACAGTCGGGCAGCACAGAGGTGTTGCCATCGTAATGTCACCGGCATGAGAATAATGCGAGTTGCTTCGCTGCACAGAAAATGAAGGCATCTCGATGGGGAAAGAGGTTCATGATGAACCCGTTAAGGATCGGGTTGTGGTGGAGCCTATCGCGTCCAAGCCCTACCCACCCACCACCCCCCACCTGGTCTGGGCGCCTCATCCCCTGTCGGACCTCAGAGCTGATACCCCACCCTTCCGCAATCTTCAACGGCGAACCGTGGCACATCGCCAAAGCTTCATCAGCAACAGCCTGTTCTTAGGCTGGATAGCTCCCGTTTGTTTGGTTAGCTCAGGTGTACAAGAGGCAACACCGGTAGCCTCGTTTTTGTTCACCTAGTCCAATCGGTCCGGCGGCCGTCTCAGCCGCCAACTATGCCAAACCGACGGCCGGTGTACCCGGCTTATCACGGATGCCGGAGGAGCCAGCAGCATTTTCTCCCTGGGACGGTTTTCTGACTGTCTGTTCTGTCCCAGAGACCATCGATGCCATGTGCGCCACAGGGGCTCCTCGTCTCTTTTTCCCCAGTTCTTCGCCTTATCCAATCCCTCGGTATGCAAGCTGTCAACCATGGACCTGTTCTGACCAGGGTTCACCTGCTGGTGAACGTGGTCGTGACAGACCCTGCAGCGTGATTCGTGCAAGCCTCACCGCGAAACATGTCTCTTGTTGGGGATCAAAATCCCAGAAGATGGGGGGCCAAGCACAGACTGGACTCTGGCACTCTGCAGCTGCGGCCGCTCTTATTTTCCCACAGACATTCGTGATCGACTGCGCCGCGTGCTGAGCTAAGATTATCTCTGCCAAGTTCATGTGGCTCATCACCGAGGTTATCAAAATGGGCCACATTAGTCGATCAGCCACCGAAACCTCTACCTTCTAAACCCCTGCTGGTCTCTTGTTTGGCCAGATGTTCAACACTGAAGCGTATATCACACGACTTCTCGAGTCGGAGTTTATCTCACATTTCTCACCCCAAAGCACTTCAATTTTGCCACACCTTGCTGAGATGTATTCAGATCAGGAATATGGGATGCTTACCAGAGGTTTGATTTGCAAAACGATGTCGGTGATTTTCCCGTTGCATTATGCGGAGGTCGACAGGAAGGATGACAGTTGAGGAAGAAGACACGGTATAATAAGGAACCCGAGATCCCAATTGTGTCTCCGGATTCTGTCTGTTCTGCCAAACGCTCGCTACTGCTTTCCTGCTCACTTTTGCTCTTTTCTTCGGGCGCTAGACGCTCACCTTTCTTTCTTTGTTGACGATAAGTTTACACTCCTTCTTGATCTACTGGATAGATCTCTTTCACTTGTTCCGTCAGCTTTCAATTTTCTTGGTCGTGGAGATACTTCTCGGTTCGGCGCCGTTCACTTCTTTTCAAATCATATAGATTTTGACGACACATCCAAGATGGTCAACAAGAAGGTATGATTCTTTCCCCTTTACACTTGAAAAAGATTCTCATCAATATTCGCAACTACAGGTGGCCTTGACAATAGCTCTCACAGCAGCAGCAACCGTGTCCGCCTCGCCTCTCGCGGTCCGACCAATCCCTACACCGACAACTGCCTCAGCCCCGGCTGCCAACTCAACTCTAACACCTCCCGCCACTTCAGCAGGCAACGCTACCGTTCCACCGGCTCAGATCACCACCCCAGCCGAAGCGGGGGCGGGAGCAGAAGCTGGCCAACCCGGCAACATCATCGACGCTGTCAACGCTCTCGTCTCCCAAGTGAAAGGTATCCTCGGACCTCTTTCTGCAGCTGCAGCAGCAGCCGACAGTGCAGATGCCGCAAGGGAGACGACCATAACGGCAACTGTAACGGAGACAGCAAAGGCTACTGGCGGTGCCGGGGCAGGTGTTGGAGTGATAATGAAGCCCGCCAATGGCACCGAAGCTGCTACCTCCGCGGCTGGTGAGACCGAGGCATCCCCGACTGCACCACCGGTGGCTGGTGCGCCTGCAGACGCTCCAGCTGATGAGGCTAAAGACGGTGAAGCCGCCGCACCCCCTGCTGCGGGAGAGTCGGATCCTGCCTCGTCTGTGACCTCTGCCGCCGCCACTGCCACGTCCGAGGCTGCGGCCGTCTCTTCCCCTGCGCGGAACGGAACGGATTCTGCTGGCACCGGACGGAATGGTGATGCCGGGGCTGAGGAGGAGAGCGATCCGACGATTGTTATCATTGTTAGTCAGTAAATGGGTGCGATAACGTATTGTCAGTTGTTGATACCATTGTTAAGAAAGACAGTTGTGGCTAAATATGGTTATATTGAGCTAGTTTCTGCCGTCGACACCTTCACAAAGGTTTGGTTTACGGATTTGCCTTTGGAGTTAGAGTAGAGAGAAAACCTGATAATGTAATATCTATTTGGATAAACGGTGCCTCTTACTTACTACGGGCTTTCAGTGTCTTGGACCTACGATATGTTTAGGTAAGGAGCCAGTTACCAGTATCAAAGACAAGTCACTTGAGGTTCGTTGTTTTTCGAGTTTTGAGCAAGCCGAATAAGATGCATCAAAACTCGACATTCGACTGGTAAACTCTTTGTTCAGCAGTTTTCTGCGTAGTTTCTTAATCATTTTCTTTGGTTCAATCAACTCAATAAGCCGAACAAAAGTTTAACACAATCTAGTAAGGCAAGGAAAGGCAAAAAGTAAGAATGACACAAAAGTCAGAACATACAACACCAGGGATTCCCCAGTGGTCACCCACCTGAGTACTGGTCTGGCGGTCAATTGCTTAACTAGGGGAGAGCGGACGGGATCCCGTGTATTCAACTGCCTATGGTCGTATGTGATTGTATGGGTTGGAATCAGGTGTTATGTTGTGGCTGCCCAGATGGGCATTCTTTACTTTTTGCCTACCCCAACTCAGGGGCTCAGGGGCCGAGGGGCATAAGAAAAACACTGCCCAAGTCACTAACCGCGGCATTGTTCCAGAGAATGTGGGGTAATCGGAGCTAACTGTGCCAGAGGAAACAAGGGGCTGCGTCTTCGTCACTTCTTGGGACTGCCAAAGGCCCAACAAGACCCAATCATGTCCTCCCTCGACCAACATCAGCATCTTTCTTCCATGCATCACCAGCTTCACTTTTGCTGTCCATCTTCCATTCGGATCACCATTTCCATCTCCGCTTGCACCGATGCAGTTGCCAGCGCAACTGACTCCACTTACAACGAGGCCCAACCACCCGCCAAGCCACAGGATTGGCTAGCAGCACGTCAACATGCAGCAAGTCGCGTTGGGCTGGGCTCATGCCATCTCCATTTTCACATGTGGAGTTCGATCGAGCACCTCACGGAACCGAATTCCAAGACTCGTTCGTTCCCATTGTGTACATACATACATACAATTCATTTTTCGCTTCATTATCTCGACCTGACCCAGCTTCAAATTGAACGACCGGGGTATCCGTACCTTTCCCAAACTTCAATCGAAGAATGTATCCACAATAGAGTGTATCCCCTAGTCGTCTTTATGGGCCCTTACTCTCGCTTCACCGACAATTGACCACCACCATTACATCATGTCTTCCTCGGGCCGTCTCCCAACACCAGACTTTTACGATGACGACGACAGGCTTCCAGCAACCAGGCAAGAGGCGATAGACCATATCCTTCAGATCCGGAGATGGCAGGAGGACTCGGGCTTTCTGACCAGCCGGGCGTTCCAGGGGATGCTGAAGACGTGTGTTTGAACTCTGCTGATCCACCTGGGTGACATCGATCGATACTGACACAATTCCAGACTGAGTGAGAATCTGACCACCACCACTTCCCGCTTCATCTATGAGCTGCTCCAAAATGCAGACGACCTTGACTATGGGGGCGCGTCTCCGCAGCTTCACTTCACCTATGACGCCGAGAAACGCCACCTTCTCGTCGAGTCCAATGAGATTGGCTTCAAGAAGAAGAACGTCAGGGCCATCTGCAGTGCGGCCGAAAGTTCCAAGAACACGCAGAGAGGATATGGCATCGAGCGGAGATTAATCGGAGAAAAGGGTCTCGGTTTCAAATCAGTCTTCAAAGTGGCATCAAGCGTCTGGATCAGGTCTGGGCACTACTCGTTTCGATTCGACCGTGATGGAGAGCTTGGGAGGATACGGCCAATCTGGGACGACGACTTCCCCGCCGAGGAATACGTTGCCGGGCTCACAACCGCCATCCTGCTCAAAATCGCCAGTCCAACTCACGATCGTCAGACGGGCACCTCGGATCCAATGGACCTTGTCTTACAAGGCCTGGAGAACCTCAAGCCCGGTCATCTCCTCTTTCTTTCCAAGGCCAAAGAAGTCAAAGTCGGCAAGGTTGTTGGTTCTGGAGCGTTGAGGAGTTTCATCCGGGGTTCGACGGCTACAGCTAAGCCGACAGCAGTCTTCAAAGCCGATCATATTCCACCACACCGCAACACACTGTTGCCGGTGTCATTGTATCACAATGATGTGATCAACCAACAGGTCGCCTTTCGGCATCTTGTCACGGACTTGCCCGACACACCAGAGCGCCCAGGGTGTCTGGAATCGGAGGTGACTTTGGTGTTTCCCCTCAAGATTCCACTTGATGAGCCACCGGAATCTCAGATGGTTTATGCGTTTTTGCCAATCAGAGATTATGGCTTCAAGGTGCGTTGGATTTCTGGGAAGTTGAGTATTGGAAACAGGTTTGCTAACGAAGCTGCGCCAATAGTTGTCCATCCATGGTGACTTCCTTCTTGTCCCAAGCAGAGAAAGCATCATCGACAATGTGTGGAACAGGGCCTTGGTGGAGGGGGTCTGCCGGGCTTTGGTCAATGCCATCCCTGGCTTTCACCGATTTGGCTATCACGAGCTGTTCTACCGGTGGCCATTACTATTGCCCCCCGGACCAACACGCAGTGACATCTTTGAACCAGTACAAAATCGTCTGCGTGACCTTTGCTCACTGAATCCCGTCCTGGAAGACTCCAAAGGGCGCCTTGTCTGCGGGAGTCAGCTGAAGATCGTTCCGACGAGGCTCAAAGATCAGGACGGAAGGAACATACTGCCGGCTGCATATTCGACGCAACACCTCATTTCCGACAAATACCCCGCCAGAATTCACGCCAAACTTCAAGCACTCGGTGTACCGCTGTTGTCTCCGGAGGACTTCCTCGCCGACTTGGGAGGCTTCATATCGAATTTCCCCACAGAGTTCCGGGGAATGCCAGTGTCGTGGCATAACGCTCTCTGCAAGGCTCTCCACTCCCTGTTGGACACCCACCGCGAGGTTATCGAGACCCTTGAGATTATCCCTGTTCACGACAAGACGTGGGTTTCCTTCAAAGGACGCCGTTTGTATCTCCCATCAGATGTCGACCTAAAGCTGCCCGTGAGCATCAGCCCACTAGGGATCGATCTAGATATCCGACAAAACGCCGACCGGGCCAAGTTCTTCCAGGCACTAGGTGCTCAGATTGCGGACAAGATGAGCTTTTGTGATCTTTTGCTTCAGGAACATCAACCTGATGTTCCGAATCAGAGGTTCCTTGCGTTGACTCTCCAGGACAGGATCGAGGATTTTGTGTTTCTGTACCGCGCGAATTGGAAGCCAAAGAACAACGATATCCCGGAGCTTTGGTGCGCAGCGAATGTTGATTCGTCCAAGATTTGGAGGTTGTCGTGGGTTTACCTGCCGGACAAAGACCCTTACTCTGCGAGTTCTCTTGCCAAAGAGACAAGGTTGACATTGCTTTTCCTCCATGACCTCTATTTGAAGACGTTTTCTCAGCTACCGGGTGGGCTTTTGTGGCTCTCTGACACCCTCAAAGCGAGAAGGTTTCTGCGTGTGGTGCAACCTGGGCCCCTGGATTGGGGTGTCAATACGCACCGGCTTCACAGCGACTTCAAAGCACTTTTGCAACGCGATCCAATCAAAGGATTGGAACTCCTGCAGCACCACTGGGAGTTTTACCGGTCTTGGTTCGTCCCAACAACGCAGAATGGCTACGAGTGGACCTTTTCCGAGGAGGATATCAAGTCTATCCATACGTTTTCTTCCACTCAGTCGGAGCTGACGAATGATCTGTCGATGCTCGAGTTTCCGTGTCACGGTGGGAGCATGGCGAGGTTGATGGACACGGCCCTTCCACGGCAGAGCTTACTGGTGCTGGCTGATCAGAGACTATCATACCACTGCAGCGAGGACCATAGCTTGTTCTGTTGGATTTGTGATATCATCAAGTCGATGCTTGCTCGCCCCGGACCTCGCCCAGTTCGTTCTGACCGGCTGTTGAGGGTCAACGAGCCGGAGGATAAGTCGTGGGATTTTTTAAGACATTTCGGGGTTCATGTTGAGCCAGAGCCAAAGGTGTTTCTTGATTATCTGGTCCAGCTGTCTGGCAGGGCAACGACACAAAGGGATATGGAGCAGCTTTACGAGCAGTTGGAGAGTTCGATTCTGAAGTATGGCCACAAGGAGAGGGATATGAAGGATATCAGGCAAGTTACAGTGACAGGTGCAACTGTGAGCTCGACTTGATTACTGACAAGACTAGATCCGCACTAAACGGCAAGAATTACATCTACATCCCCAGAAGGGGCGGTCAGACTGTGGGGTGGTGGGCACCCGCTTCGTTGTGTGTCTGGGATGGGCCGCCGTGTCTGAGATATATCCAGCGCATCAAGACGTTCTATCCTCACCGCGACAACCTGTTCCGAAATTTACTCGAGATCAGCAACGCCAACTTGAACAGCTTGTTTCTGGAAGTCAGTCACCTTGATGTGTCTGATACAGAGCACATCAAGGCATTGCTGGTTCAGATATCGCAGCAACTGCAGGTTTCGGCCCATGATTTGGACAGGCCTGATTTCTCGAGCTGTGCCATGTTCCCGGTCAGGTTGACAGGTAAGAAATCGATGACGGTGGTGCTGCGCTCTGCAGAGGAGGAGTGGTGCATTCCAGAGGAAAGGCTTCATATCGAGGCTTTATCTGGAGTTGCACCCCTGTCAATTTTGGATGCTGGGTTCTTTGAGATGGACGGGATGGAAGCTCTTGTTAGGGAGCTTGGTCTCAAGGAACGTCTTGTGTCTAGGAGGCTGGCTGGGCAGGAGACGGATAAGGGCGATGCGGTTCAGCATGTGGCCTTTGAGGAGGTGCTGAGGGGCAAGGCGCTCTATCTTGCGGAGCTTATCCCGAACACCATCTCAGGGCTATCCTTTCGCCGGAAGAAGACCCAGCTCGTCAATGTCCAAGTGTACTCTTGCACAAGGATCAACATCAAGCTCAAGGTCAAGGTCAACGGGAAAGAGGTCAAAGGTGTACCGATCAAGAGCCGTGTGGCCAAAGAGGTTGTTGACGACAGTCTCCGGTTCTACATCATCGACACCCGCAAGTCGATTCCAGTTCATTGGCTGTCTGAATTGCTCGTTGAGTTTTGCGGCGTCAAGAATAACCAAGACATTCAGCTTTTGATGCAGATCCTGAACTCAAATGACGATGAGATCATCCGGGATGAGTTGGAGTACCGACGGGAGCGGATGGCGGTGGTTAGGCGCCCGGCAGAAGGTAGGTTTGGCTCTTTGGGAGACACTGATGGTCATGTGAGTGCTAATATCATGTTAACAGAACTTGAAGAAGAAGAGTCTTCCGAATCGGAATCTGAGGTGGAAGCCGTACCAGAGCCTGAGCCGCAGCCTGAGCCGCAGCCAGAAGTGCAGCCAGAAGTGCAGCCAGAAGTGCAGCCAGAAGTGCAGCCAGAAGTGCAGCCAGAAGTACAACCAGAGCCGCAATCTGAGTCTGAGCCCGAGCCCGAGAACGAAGCGGATCAATCCTCACTTCACCCACAGCGAGTATCAATTGTCCTCAGACATTCTCGGTCAGTGGACACTGGCTTTGAGGAAGCGAAAAGGGCGAAAGAGCCCTGGAAGTTTCTTCAGGTCCAGGAGCATGAGACGGCCAGGCCTGCAACAACATCAAAGCGCAGCGAGCACGAGGATTTCATTGCCATGTGCTATGGTCACTCTCACCTCGATGGCCCTGAAGTCTTCACCCAGTTTGCACTCGACCTCCTTTACCGTGCAGGTTATCGCAAAAGCTCCCCATTCTGCACCTGGATGCCCAGTGAGATTCACGATCGAGACCCTCAAGCTACAAAGAGAAACTCGATCACCACCTGGAGCGCTGTCAATCAAGGCTTTCACGCTGGCTCACCCCTAGGTTTATCCGCCACTTTCAAGGGCCCAGCAAGCACCACAACACCCCCTGTTCTCACCCTAAAAGGCGTCTATATCGACACCGTCCACGCTTGTTTCGACCTTGATCTACGCCCGGACAGCAGAACTCTAGACCTCGCAAGCATCCTCCACCGCCTGAGGAAGTTCCTCGCCCCCCTACATCCAGACCCCAACCCCGATAAAGAAGACTCCAAGGACCAATGGCGACGGGACTTGTACCTCCTCGAGCTCTTGACAGGCGACTCTGAACTCCCAGCAGCCACCCGAAACCCAACCCCCCTCAGCCGCTTCATCGACACCCACCAACAAGCCAACAACCCCACCCCACCTCAGACACCGTCCGACCCATCCCACCGATGGTTTACCCCCTTTGCCCAGCAAATCCTCGCCCTCCACCCCGACGACGACAGGAGGATCCTCGAGCCAGAAGTGCAAGCCAATCTCGACAAGGTCAAGGCCACTGCTCTCGCGTTCCTGAGTCGGTTCCCCGATCCGGCCGTGTGCATCACTGTCTCGCCGGAGAATAACACCTTCTTCGCGGGTATCGTCCCAGGCGCAGCCAAACCGGGCGATCGAGTCTTTGTTCCCCACGGCTCCAAAGTCCCATTTGTGGTGAGGAGAAAGAGCAGCGGTCGGCCGAGACAGGTGAGCTCCGTGTCGCAGGGTAGTAGTGTACCACAGGTGCCGAGGGAAAGTCCGAGCGCGAAGCCGCCGGCTTTCGCGAAGATTGTGCGGAGGGCGAGCATGAGGACTAGTTTTGGGTTGAAGTGGAAGAGTAAAGCGCTTGGTGGGGGGTTGGGGAGGAAGAAGAGTAAGGGGGGGGATTTGGATCAGGGGACTATGACGGAGTTTTCTCCTACGGGGGGGTTGGATAGTGGGGTGGGAAGTATGGAGGATGTGGTGGCGGGGGGGTCTGTGAATGGGGGTGGTCACGGGGAGCATCATGAGGTTGGGAAGGAGAGGGAGAGGAGTAGGAGTTCGTTTAGTTTTAGGAGGCAGGAGAGTTGGGATTGGGAGGGGAAGTTGGGTGGGCATGGGGGAGCGGGGAGTGTGAGTGCTGGTGCTGGTGGGGGTGGGTTGGGGGTTATGGAGGAGGAGGTTGGGGAGGGGGAGGTTGCTCCTGAGGTGAAGACGGTGAGTTTGGAGGGGGAGGATGATAGGTATGAGTTGATTGGGGAGGGGTATGTGCAGGGGCTGATGTATTTTGAGAGTTCGAGGGTTAGGAGTGGGGGTGAGGGGAGGGAAGGGGTGGTTTGTTTGGTGTAGGGTGGTTGCTTGGTTGGTATATATACAGAGATGTCAGGAGTAGATTTTTGGTTCTTTTGTACTGGTGGTTTGAAGTGACTTTTCTTTTCTCTTTTTTTTTTTTTTTGTTAACGAAGACCATGACGTGTATGTACATAAAAAAGATTGGAAAGTTATATAGGTATGGTTGCTTGGAGTTGATACACTTGTGTTTCCTGTTGGAATCTGACCCTTCACACTTGGACCTCCTTGAACTCTGAAAAGTTCAAACCATCATGTGGTTTCCCAGCCAAAGTCAGGTGATATGATTGAACGTAGGCCACCAGGCAAAGATTCTATCGACCCCCCAGGCTGGGCAAGGGGCCCCGAGGCAGGCTTCATGGACCCCAAAAAATCCACTACTGCCGAATGTGATGGCCCAGCAGAAACAGCGATATCCCGCACACTTGTCCCATTGGCATTCCGCGCCCCAGTATCAGCGCCATACCGCAGGACAAGCCGCAAAGTGCTAAGACGGTTGAGTTTGACTGCTGTCATGGCAGTGGTATTGCCCAGTTTATCGGGCAGGTCTGATTGAGAGCACCAGTATAAAGAAGTTCCAAGACAACTTCACTGAAACCTCCCATCACGGCGCAGTGGAGGGGAGTGCCGTATTTGTTGTCCGTTTGTAAGTTGATGTGCGGTTTGGATTTTGACTTGCACATGGCTTGGACGAGATCGGTTCTATTGCTGTAGCATGCGTAGTGCAAGGGTGAGAGTCCGGACTTGTCGGTGGAAGTGATATCGGCTCCGTTGTTGGTGAGGAGGTTGTAATTGGCTGCTGAGGTGCAGTAATATAATGGGGGTTCTTTCTTTGTCGTCTTTGGCTTCGAGCAGACGGCTGTGTTGCTGGAGAATCCATTCTGCGGCTAGGCTTGACGGTCCGCTGACGGCCATGTGTAAGGGGGTTCGTCTGCGGCTGTGGAGACATGGATGATCAGGGCGGGGGACTTGCTGTTGTGTTTTGTGAATTAGATCGGGGATTCGTAGGTTGTCTTTTGTGTTTCTTCTCGCTGACAGCAGAGCGGCAAAGTTAATAGGGGGATGGAGGCGCCCTTGATCACTCGGAAAAGTACACTGCAGATACATAACTTTGGCTCGGCCTGTAAAAGGGCAGAGGCAGCGTCACAGTAGTGGAAGTCAATAGCCTGCTTTAGTGTGCTGTCGTGATCCCCTTGCTTGCGGTTATGGATAAGGGCTGGAGGCTTTGGATGATTTCGATGGTGCGTTTTAGGTTCTGGTTGCTTTTGGCACCATGCATCGCTCGCCGCTCTAGGGTTGACGAAAAGCAAAGAGCTATCGACAAAGGGTTTGTGTTGATGCAGGCCATGGTCCTCTTACGCGGAGCGCTCTTCAAAAGGACTTCGAGGATATCAGGGCAGTGATATTGCACAGCTATGTGCAACGAAGTCCAAGAGGATCGAAGGTCGGTTTGATCGTACTGCTTTTCGGAATACACAGGCGCAAGTGCATCCGCTCCGAGAGCCAACAAGGTCTTAACTGCAGGCAAGCTATATACCTGAATGGCCATACACAATGATGTACCAGTAAGCTGAAGCGGCCATTGGGGATGGAGATCTTGGTTTAGCGTCGGCGCCAAGTTGACTGAGAGCTGTCCTGGAGGTGATTTAGTCACTGCAGAATGTGTAGGACTTCATTTGGTAATTCGAGCATAAACAACCAATGGAAAATCGTGTTTCCGTCCGGTGATCGTGAATTCGGGTTGGCGCCTCCAGCGATAAGTCGATAAGTCTCGCCATTGCGGCACTATCCCCGTCGAGACATGATCTGGCGAGAGGAGAAGTTTGATCCCCCTGGGTTGACAAACGAAGAAGTCTCGCGACCTTGGAGGTATATGCTTCTTGGGCGTCAGGAAGGTTGCAGGTGAATAAGCCAGCGGACTCTTGTGCCACGGATTGTCCTCTAGCCGCTGCAACCTCCGCAAAGAAATATGCATCTTGGTCTTTTCGCTCTCGACCAAACCCGCCGTTAGAGTATAAGGCCATTTGCCAAGCGATGCAACCGTTGTCTGGATGGGACTGCTCTGCGTAGATAGTTTTGAGGTCCGCAAAGATCTGTTCTGTTGTTCAAGATCCCATATGATATCTTTTCGATTTTCGGATCTCAAAATATGTCAGTTCCAACATCAGCAAGAGGCATTTTGTGTGTTTGAGTGACAGAAGTTGTCACGTCACGTCGTACCTCATATGTAGGATCTGGACTGTCGACTTGGATAGGGAAGGTCTGTCCACATCCATTTAAAGCAGCAGTGCTGGCAGAAGTTATTAGCTCATGATAAGACGGTTGATGATCTGAAGCCGAAAGCAAAGAAATAAGGTCTCTCACTGCCACCGTGTGCAAATTGGCAGGTTAGCACAGTTGACTCGTTTGTTCGTATCCTCCTGCAGTGTCTTGTCCAGAGTGGCTTTGAGGATGATATCAATTCCCGACTCTTGTCTGCATTTTGGTACGCACTTCTTTGCTGCTTCCAGAAGCCCACTAGAATGGGTGTACTCGATTCTCTTATCCTCACTCGCAGTGGTGTATACAAGGCCTCCGAGACAAGCCTCCCACAACAAAATGCCAAATGACCAGATGTCGCACAGGCGCAGGCCTGACTGCATGATCGGGCATGCCTTCTGGTTTTGCACTTCTGGAGCATTGTATCTGAGCACATGTTAGCAGTTTGAAATGGTACTTGACTCTGGACACCAAATGCACTTTTCCAAAACTCACAAGAATGTTCCGGTATATCTCAGCGAACCGCTCACAGCCGCCGCACTCCTCAAACAATATCACACCCCCAAAATCCGCAACCTTGGCCAGTGCACCCGTCGGTCTGGTTGTATCTGGGAAAACAGGCACATTGTCAAGCTTGACATCTCCATGAACAACCCCACACCCATGCAGCGCCGAAAGTCCAGCAGCCACATCTCCAACCAACAGCTGAACACGGAGGAGATCCGAATGCTGACCATGAGCTCCACCACAACACTGGAAGTATTCTCGAAGTGTCCCATCGTAGTATACTCCACAAGAACAAAAGGAGCAGCTACCTCCTGGCGCACATTTCACTCATATCCACAACCCCTTGATGATGTTTGCATGCTCATTCAGTGTTCGGTGTGCCATTATCCGCATTTCCAAGACAACTAACCTGAGGTTATTGCGAAGAGAGCTTCGGTTATCATGTTGGTCAAACTTGACATGTTTGACAGCAAAGACATTTTGCTCTATCGTGCACCTTTCAACCAAATATGACACCCCCTCTCCGGGCCTTTCTTCCCGAACCCGCTCCTCATAACGATACTGCTTCAGACCGACATCTCTCACCACTCGGGTGACGCTCTCTAGTCCGTAAGATGCTTCATGGCGTGCGGTGTTGTTTGAGAGTGATTCAAGGTTTAGTGTTGAAATAGGGGTCCGGGCAAAGTTGTTGCCCCAGCTTTGGGGGCTGTAGCTCAGAGCTCTCTTCCCGGCATCTTTGTTTGACTCTGGCGTTGCTGGAGACATGGACTGAACTTGTATTTCAGGAAGAATTGGTGACGGTGAAAAAGAAAAAAGAGGCCATCCCCAGTGTTATAGAATCAAAGGCGGGCGGCTATAAGCCTGCCTTGCCGCCGCAGGACCATCACATCAAGCGCCGACCCGCCCCCATCGAGGCCCCCCAAAAGCAGTGTTGTGCGGTAGTGCGTATCTGTCTGCAGTATGCTGGAGTCACAATATCAACCTTCAACCATCTATGGAGGATCGGGAGCAAGACAGAGGATCTGATAGCAAACTACCGCGACTTTGACGATGCAGGCTGATAGTTTGGTTCTTTTTTTTTTGGAACCGACGTTACATATCTGTCTGGTAGGACAGCAAGGCGCTAGAAACCAAGGTTTGGGATGCGAACAACCTGGCTCGGGCACTTTGACTGCCTTCATTCGATTTTCTGTAACAAACGACTGCTCCTTGACCTTTCGTGGATGCATGTGCCCCTGTTCCAATCCAAAAGGATACCCCCAAAGCTTGTTGGTCCCAACAACGCCGAAAAGGAAGCATCGAATGTATAACCTCATGTAAACCGCATATACTCACACGACCCAAACGGATTCCCCGGATCCAAGTTACTCGCAAACGAATAGTCAATCATCTGCGCAAACGTCGGGTCCCAAGAGTCGAATATCAAGCTATCATTCATAGCCATAAATTCCCCAGAGCCCGACTCCATTTGGTCACCGCCCATTGACCCAAACAAGTTGACATTCGTATGCCCAACACCTGACGTGTCCGGTATCTGATAGCTACCTGCAGCCATTGCAGTATCAGGATGGCCCTGTGATGTATTCGCAAGCGTCGACGACGGAGAAAGGGGCTCACAGGCCCCCGCAACGAGACCAGGTTGAAGCCTGGCACTTGAACTAGGGGGATTCGTCGAATCTTGCCTCGCGCCCTCATCAGGCTTCTCAATAAGCCATCTCGCACGTGAATGAAGCTCAATGTTAAACGCAGAACCGCTGTCGTTGATAGCCTTGGGCTTGGAAGGCGCGCAGACGCCCCCTTTTGCTTTGGCACGCTCACGAAGCAACGCCTCACTCCTCTCAAGATTGCGCACCACGGCGTTTCCCAACTCACTGCTCAAACGAGCGTTGGCCCAGATAGGAGAGAGCTGTCGAATGGCCGCAGCGACTTTCAAGAAGTCGGCTTTGCCACGAGTGCGGAACATCGGTAATTTGCTGAATTTCCATTTCCTGTATGCGACTGACAAGGAAAGCGACAGGGCATATGGCACAAACGGGAATGGGCTGAGTTTGTACGCTGATATCACATCGAGGATACGGTCTGAGGAGTGTGATCTGCGTGCGTTCACACTGCTTGGCGGCAAGTGCTGATAGCTGACGGGCGTCTTGTTGCCGTTGTCGGTTTCTGGAGGGGTAGCGAAGCGTTCGCGGGTCATTCGTACCGAGAGGACACCGATAGCGTGGTACAGGACTTCAAGTGTGGCTGTGTCATGCTGTCAGTAACAATAGAGAACTTCGGAGGGAAGACGGTGGGCACTTGCTCAATATTATCTCTGGCTCACACTGCGCCCCAACATCCAGCGCCATCTGCTCGTACACAGGAATATCAATGTACGTCACCGTCGGCCGCGGTCGATACATCTCTATCACTTGATCCAAAACGTGAATGAGTGACATGAACAGCCGGAAGCTGGGTGGGTCATCAGGATCAGCCTTTGGTCGGTCCATGAGGTCCTCATTGTGAAACATCACTGGCCGTCCCGAAAAGGCAGCAAGTAATCGGTCCAAAGCATAAATGCACTTAAACAGCCGCTTCCCAGTCCCCGGAGGATATCTCTGATCGGCTAGATGGCCTTTTCCTTGAAGCTCCAGATGAACACCGTGCGAGGCAGCAATGCTCACCAGATTCCCAAAAAGATTCAGCGGAGCAGACCGCTCGTTGACCTCCTCTGGTTGCCAGTACAGACAAGTAATCCCCATGACCTGAAGGTTGTAAAGCAGTGGAAGCTCCCGGCTCCTGATGCGGGTGTTTATGAAGCTCGCCAAAGCTTGTGAGTAGTCTTCATAGTCCACGGATTCTCGCACCCAACCTTTGCCATCTTGACTCCTACATCCCAATGTCAAGCGTCCGCTGACCTCCGGATCGGTCGAGATGGCTAGGCAAACTGCGGCTTGGATGGCTTCGCGTACGTTTTTGTCTTGGGGAAGATCAACAAGGGTCTCTCTGTCGAGGATTGGAAATATTGGTTGGATCTTTCGAAGGTACATGTCCCTCATGAAAAGCCATTCAGGTTCTGTGGGCAAGACTGCTGGGGCAATTTCCGTGGTGCTTCCAAGGAGCTCTTTGATGAGTTTGATAGTCGTTGCATCTCGTACTGGCACCTTGAGCCACGACCCGTCTACACGGAATGAGAAGAACCCTGTCGGCTGGTCTTCATCACCGGGGTCCCGCGTGGCTTCCGGAGATTTTGAGGTTGTTGTCGCTTCACCTGCTGGTGATGACACAGCCCACGGCGGGATAGAGACACCAGGGCGATTATCCCTCTCGACATCTGTGATCTTGGAGGCTGTACCAGATGAATTGGAAGGCCCCGGCCAGGTGGTCATTGTGGCTTCGGCTAGAATTCCTTCCGGGTTCAGGTCCCCGAGGAATCTTGGGGCTGAATCGATAGGCGGCTGTTTTCTCTGTGACGCGTCATGACTGGAGTCGCTGCGTCCTGGTTTCTCGCGGGCGTGTGAAAAGAAGCGAAGAAGAAGCTCGGCGGCTGCGTCAGACACATCCGCGTCAGGAGGGTCTTGGGGTTTTGAGCTTGAGCGTTGGCTGGCGTGAGGCGGAGTTGGATTCTGAGGCCGTAAACTTGGCGAAGGCCTGGGACTTTCGATATCTATGATACTGGAGTCTTCGACTGATTGATTCCCTGGAAGATGCCCGCAACGTTTCTGGAAAAGTTAGCTACCGTAGATAACCAAGAGTATGCCATGAAATATCCATAGAAAGCTCTTGTCTTTACCAAGCACACGTAAAGTCCAATTCAATGCATGCCTGAAGGCCGATAATCTCTGGTGCAATGTTCTCTTCATTTTTGCATCAAGCTGTCTACCATGGTCTACCATGTTGCGTTGAACCTGTCAAAGAATGGTCGAATGTGCTGTAGGGAACGGCGGCGGAGCCTTCGGATTACCGGAAAAAGAAGTAAGGAGAGATTATTGGCAGGACATACCTTTCTTTTCCTGCAGGTGTCGCAAGCCTGATGCGCCTGTTTCCTCTTGACGGGCAGGCCGGAGGAATCGGTTGCTACAAAGACAACAGGTTTGGCAGGCATGGTGAAAATGCAGCCCCACGAGTTGCAGTCCCGCCAAGTGTGGAGACAGTCTGGAGAGGATTTCCGCGAGCAGCGAAGCAAAGCAGTGTCGGAGAGTGATCAATCCGGCGTCTTGCAATTGAAGCCGTCCACCGTTGAGTCCGCACTGCGTGGTAGCCGACAGACAGAGGCGGAGAGCAATTGAAGACAGCCGCTCGATTTTCGGCTGTCGGGACGTCGGGGCTTCCTTATCCGGTTAGACCGGTTCCCCGCCTTGGCGGGCTTGGCGGCGAGAAATGGATCCTCGCGCCGGAACCCTGGTTTCTGACCCCCACTAAGTGTCCCAACCCACCACCATCCCAACTGCTTGGTTCACGCTGGAAGCCGTGCATATCATGGAAGGCATGCCCTCAACATTCGGCCCGGTTTTTAAAACCCCATAGCACTGTGGATGATAGCAGCTTCATCTATCCGCGAAATGGCAAGCCCGCCGCATCATGGCCCTCCTTTGCCATATCTTTGTCACCTCGCCATGACGTTAGTCGCGTGAGCTCAATGACACCAAAAACAGTAACTCCGAATGGGCTGTTTGTGCGACCCAATCTCGAGGCTCGGGTATATTATCACGCCGTGATTATCGGGAAGACGGGATGCCTTGATATCAAGATATTTCGAGTTCTACAGTCCCTCAAATACACCGACCCCCCTGGTTCTTGACCCCCGAAGTTTTCAACATCTTCTTCAGCCTCATCAACATTCCGATAACTGCTCGCATATCGCCATTCAAAATGAAGGCTGTTCTCCCTGCGAGACTCTCACCGGCAACATGCCGTGTACGACTTTCTACCCCGCTCCTCCGCTCATGTAGGCAACCACCACGGTACCAGACGCGGGGGGTCGTCTCCATGGCGTCCATGAGCCCCAAGAAACGGGAAGGAGACATCTCAGATGCTTTTGCCTCCATGTCTGGCAAGGCCCCAGAGCCTCTTCCAGATCGTTATCGCCAACTCAAACTCAGACTGGTCCAAGGCCATGAGGAGGCTGTCATCGCCAGCTGGAAGCGGCTCCTCAGCGTCCTGCAGCGTGAGAACGAGGTCATCGCACAACGTGGTCCTTCTATCGTGCCCGAGATACGCTTCAGCCATCTTGAAGAAGACCTCGCCGCCTCGAAACCAGAGCTCAAGAAACAAGGTGTAGCTGTCATAAAGGGTGTGATACCCGAGGATGAAGCCAGAGCGTACAAGTACGAAATTGAGGAATATGTCCGCCAAAATCCACATACCAAAGGTACGTTCTCTGGTTGTCACGGTCTTCAAAACCGGTCCTAACACCAAGCAGGCTTCCCCTCAGACCATCCCCAAGTCCTCGAGCTGTACTGGTCCAGCACCCAAGCCCGCGCCAGATTCCACCCCTCCCTCCTCAAGGCGCAAACCACCCTCATGTCCTCCCTCTGGCACGCCTCTAATCCGAGCACACCCATCTCCCTATCCACCCCTCTCTGCTACGCCGACCGCCTCCGCATACGCCAACCAGGCGACGCCCAATTCGCCCTGGGTCCCCACCAAGACGGCGGCAGCGTCGAACGTTGGGAGGAAAACGGCTACGGCCTCGGCGGTATCTACAACCCCATCTTCCGCGGTGACTGGGAGAGCTACGACCCCTTTGATGCCAGCGGCAGATTGAACGCCGTGACAAACTTGCACGATGGCCTCGGAGCGTGCAGTATGTTCCGGACATTTCAGGGGTGGCTCTCCATGAGCAAGTCAGGGCCTGGAGAAGGGACACTGCTTGTCAACCCTCTAGTGAGGGAAACAGCTGTGTACACTTTGCTAAGGCCATTCTTCAGGGATATCAAGACACTAAACCAGCTTGGCGGTGACAAGAGGAGGCATCTGGAGGTAGACAACTGGGAGTTTACTGGCGGAGAAAAGATGACCAGTGATTTACAAGGTGCGTCTCCGGGACATGGCCAGGAGTTCCCGGAGGGGTTACACCCGCATTTGGAGCTGGAGAGGACGATGGTGCATGTTCCCGAGGTAAGGCCGGGGGATTATGTTGTTTGGCATTGTGACAGTGAGTGGCACCTCTTCTTTCCTCTAATAAGAGCACCATGGTCCCCGAGCTAACAACAGTATGCTACAACAGCAATCCACGCCGTTGACAAAACCCACAACGGCCACGGCGACTCAAGCGTCATGTACATCCCCATCTGCCCCACCACCGAAGCAAGCGCACAATACGTTGCCCGCCAAAGAGCCGCCTTTCTCGAGGGTACTCCGGCCCCTGACTTCCCCGGCGGTGAAGGCGAGTCCCGTCATATCGGCCGGCCGACTGAAGATTATGTCATGAGGTTTTGTGATCCAGCGGGGGTTCAATCACTGGGATTAGACAAGCTGGTTGCCTTGGAGGGGGATACCCCCGGTGGAAAGGAAGCCGTTAGATTAGCTAACCAAGCGCTGGGGTTTATTTGAGCTGTTATTCTCATCAATATTAACAAATTCATTACCTCTTTGCCTAACTACCCTCCAACCCCTCCATCTCCTCCTCCTCCTTCGCTTCCCTCGATGCACCACCCATGCTCAACCCCATTAATCCACCGAGGACATCATGCTCCCTTTTCCAGTCCGATTGCGTCCAGAGCTTCTCGACGACTTTTTCCTGGCCCCTGATAAACACCTCGAGATTCTGCGCCAGCATCTCGAAGAACTCTCTGCGGAGCCGGACGTCGTCGTCTTTGTCGTGGATGGACGACTGTTGCTCGAGGTGAGTGCAGATGGCGAGGTGGTTGGTGCATCCTTGGGAGAGGGTGCGGAGTTTGTGGAGGTAGACGATGTCGTCAAAGGTTTCGGATGGGTCGAGGGACATGTAGGTGTCGAGGAGGCGGGAGAAGATAGGTTGGAAGTTTTCTTGGGGGATAGTGGTGGGATCGCCGGGGGAGGAGGGGTCGGTTGGGAGGTTGAGGAGGAGGGGGCCTGGGATGTGTGGTTAGGAGGGGTTTAGAATGGGATAGGGAGGGGACGTTACGGATCTCGTCCCAGTTGAAGGTTGGGTCTATTGATGGTGGGGGTGTGTTTTGGACGTCGGATGAGGAGACGTCCATGGTGTCTGTGTTGCCGAGGTCCATGATTTTGGTTTTTTGCGTGATATCTTGGGTGGGGAATTTAGTTGTTGTCTGGAGCTTGTGGGAATGATCTGGGTAAGATTATGGGTTAAGTTCGGAAATTAACTTGGACCCAAAGACAGTATTTTGTTGGCTGCCTGGCTTTTCTTGTTGACGGCTGGTGGCTTGGTATTGCGGATCGTGACTTGACAGTAAGAGGAGGATGGAAAAAGGTTCTAGATCACGGCCAGCCGCAGTTTTTAAGGTTGTTGCAAGAACGCCCTGCATTACCTTTGTGTGCTGACATGAGACAATTGTGGCTCTTTATTACGTGGCACAGAAAATCACAGATAAGGTATTGAAAGGTTAATACCTGGAAAAGCTCGTCTGGCTTTCTTGATGGATTTTTGAGTTGCATCGCATGCCACCCACAGAAAGGAGTGTTCTTGAGAAACAGAAGAGCGATGCTGTCTTTCAAGCTCAATCAAGCCTCGATATCTGTTTTTTCAACCCAGACCCAATCCTCCAACCCAGTGACTTCCTCCCAGTCAGGCTCCGAGTTGAGAATATCCTGGTCGCTTGGGACACCATCTGCCATTGAACAGAATCTGTTAGCTGATAAAACTTCGATTTGATAGCGGTCATAAGATAAGATAAGGTCAAGCCCTCAGTTCAGTGTTATCAACTTACCATAATCATCCACCCCAGCAACAGCAGTCTCACAAGCCTTCTGCAGCATGCCCTCCAGCCAGGTCAAAGTAAGCTGAAAGAACTGGCGACGGATGATGACCTTCACCGGCAAGTTCCCGAATTGTATTTTGAAGACGTCCCTAAAAAAGTAGGTGCATTGTCAGCTTTCTTCTTGCTAGAAGAAACATCGCCCAGTGCATACCCGCTATTGTCTCTCATCTCCTTGCAGTCACGAATGAGTCTGCGAATCGGAATCTTCTTTTCCTGATGAAGATTGACAATGAGGGCCCTGGCGGTTGACATGAAGAGTGCCGGAGGGGGGAGGTCTGCGGGACCGCGTCCCTCCATGAGGGTGGCGCCTGTTTATATTTGTTAGCAGGTCTTTGTGAGGAGATTCAAGGCGGGCTTACAGATTGGCTCCCAGTCAAAGACGTTCTTGGACATTGTGAAGCACTGGAGAGGCTACGTTGACTTGAATAGATGGTTGGTTAAAAAGGTTTGTGGTGGTGAGGTGATGGATTAGGGTGCGCATGAGAGAAAGCTTTTGAGGCGCGATAAGGAATGTATTTGATACATGAGGCAGGATGGGGTGGGACTTGATGGGAGCAATAGGTATCTGATGGGATATTCACCTGCGTTTGAGTTTTGTGTCAAAGGCAGTGAATATAATGTGGTCTGGTAGTGAACTTGGGAGCGCCACGAGCGCCTCTCATGTGACGATTGTGGACCCTGATGTCACTGGGAGCAACTTGGTATTCTATTCCTTGAAACCTGTCGCAGAGCTCTCCAGATCCAGGTAAAGCGAGTATTATAAAGCAGAGTTGAGCTTTTATTCCGGATTCCTGCTCTTCTTTGGTCCCCATCAATGCAATCAACATGTCTACCCTTGATGAGCAATCCATCCAGAACCCTTCGCGCCACATCGGACACTGTGCTGCCAATCCAACCCTATCACGAGGCTCCCTCAACAAGAACCCAATCATCACAGCCGGTGTCAAAGCCATGATCCTCCGCGGACGTGCAGGCATTGTCGTTGGTGGGAATAACCTCTGTACCTATTTGACATCTTTGTCAGCATCAGAACACTCCCACTGGAAAGCTCTCATGACCGCTCAGCATCGCTTACCTGGATGGCTCTCAGTCCCCTCCAACACGCCAGGATTCTCAGTCCCCTCCGAAACCCCAGCCGTCTCCATCCTCTCCTTAATTCAGCTCTGGCAAAGTCTGAAGAATGTGCGGCGGACAGCCACCTCAACCAGCATGATGTTCTCAGTCTTAGCAGTCTCGGAGGTATGGTCATCCTCAGTGGGGATATCGGCCCAGGCATACTCACTGTGCTCCAACATCTCGCGGCAGTCACGGAGCTGATCGTGAAGGGAGACCTTCTTGTCCTTCCAGATTACCTCCTTGAAATAGGCGGTGGCAATCTCGTCAAAGGTGGACTGCAGCGGCATCTTCTCTGGCCCACGACCTTTTTTGAGGGCCCGCCCTGGGTATGGTTAATATGTCGGAAGAGGTACCTAGGTAGGTAGGTTTGGAGGGTGCTTACCGATTCGGTCCCAGTTGAAAATGTTTGGAGGATTCATGGTAATGACTGACTGTGGGAACGGGGGGTGGGGCAGGTGATATGTTAGGTAGGTACCTAATGGTATAGAGTGACTGAAGCCGGTTGTGAAATGTGTGGGAAAACGAAAAACAAATGGGTGAGGGCGAAGTTGGGGCGGAATTTATACATGTGCTCATGAGCGTTGAGAACCATCACAGGCCCACAAGACCGACGGCAAAGCACTCATCGGAGCATCGAGATTTCTTTCGCGCCACAGAGTCAGTGAACGGAACCAGGAAGCGGGCCCAACAGCCCGCTTTAAGCTCTGCAATGCCGACATTGGGGTCGTGGACACCGACGGGATTGTTCATGTTTTGGCTTTGTCACCTGGGAGGAAGATTTCCTCTTTTCATCGTCTTTTTATCCTTTGATGTGATATGGATCTATCGATAGGGCAATGGTGCTTGGTTCTCCATGTCTCGTCCCTTTCTCTTATGTGTCTGCCCTCGACTTCATCCCTCCTAAACCAAATCGGCCTTCCCAACCATGACCCAGTCTGCATCATCAGCATCCACGTCCCAATTGGATTCAATGGGCACAAGAATCCAGTTGGACGACAGTGACTCTGTATACATGTGATTAGCTGCCAAGTTTCTTTTATTCCACAATCAGAGGTTTTCTACACACCAGAAATCTCAGATATACCTTGCTTCACCCTCGACATCTCGATCCAACCCAGCATAAAGGCAAAGAAATGTCTCTTGATGATCAGCTTGTTGAAGGCAGTCTCCTTCACACTGAGGGTGACACTGTCGGCGACGGAGCGGGCTGCTGACTGGTACTGCCTGTTGACTTGTTTGAGGACTTCCTGGCAGTCTTGACGCAAAGCGGCCATGGTGATTCTTTCGTTGCTCTGCATGTCCTGGATGACGTCGCGAGCGACGGGCATGAACACCATCTTGCTACCTTTGCCGGGGACAACCTCATTCATCTCGATAGCCTCCTCTACACAGGGTGTGTTAGCTGGATTTGTAAAGGTTGTTTGTTGAAGAGACGCACCGATGGCACCCCAGTTGAAAGCGCTGGAAGGCATGATGATGATGGTGTTTGTTTTGTATCCTTGAGACTTGAGAAGGAGGTAGAGATGTGTTGTCGAGGGAGTCTGGGAAGTGCGGGCATGAGGAGGAAGCAATGGAGATGGCAAATATATACGTGTGGTTATCATTGTGATGACTTGAGTATCGGTGGGTCTATGAGGTACAATAGTGGTTACCTTATTCACTTGTGGGGTTGGGGACAACATCGTCAATTCACTTGCTGGTAGGCTGTCAGTTGGCGCTACCTTCACCAATTCACTTGCTCAGCATCACCGCCCACTGATGGAAAAGTAAAGTGTGTGCCCAAAGTTTCATCGACAATGAGGCACTGCTCCAAAGAACCGGTGGATCCCGAGAAAACAAACATACCTTATCTGCGTACTGAACGCGGAAGCCACAGAGGCAGTTTTTGACGATATCAAATGTGTCGTTTACTCCCAGATACCTATGCATGACAGGTGGTTGCTCAAAGAGCTCTGCTGTAAAAGGAACCTAAACAGAAGTCAAGTTACTTCTTGCATTCAGGTCAAAAACAGTCTGATTTGCTGGTCTATCTCAAGTCAAGGATGTAGAAACCTAGGTATTCTCTAAGCAGAGCCAGCCTCGACAATGACCCAATCCTCATCGTCATCGAAAACGTTCAAGTCCTGCTTAATGCAGAGATTCTCCAGCTTGTCTGCGAGTTCCTCCGGCATTTTCGGGAATCCATCCAGCTTATTTGCCTTATCCAGCTTCTTTGGGTGTTCCTCCAGCGTCTCCGGGAGTTCATCCAACTTCTTTGCCTTCTTGAACTTCTTCGCGGATTCCTCGATCGTCTTTGCTTTCTCCAGCCCCTCCAGCTTCTCCAACTTCTCCAACCTCTCCTTAGTTACCTCCAGTGTCTTCTCAGTTTCCCCCAGCTTCTTCTTAGTTTCCCCCAGCCTCTTCTCAATTTTCTCCGCCACCTTCTCAGTGTTGTCCAGCCACTTCTCGTTTTCCTTCCAGATCTTCTCGGTTTCCCACAGCTTCTTCTGGGTCTTCTTCAGCATCTGCTCGGTATCCTGCAGCTTCCTCTGGAGTTCCTCGTCTACCAGGGTCGTCAGTCATGATACTCATAAAAATATCTCCGGGGTCTAACCGGACACGTACCATAATCCATGCTGCTCGTGGAGAACTGGAGCCACTCCACCAGCTCGATGAAGAAGTCCCTCTGCAAAGCCAGCCCATAGGCCACATGGATTTTGCCAGTCGGCTTTCTGTCCTTCATTTCCCGCGCACTGGCGCGCCAGTACATGTCGTTGGCCTCGGCAAGCTTCGCCCGAGCGTCGCGGAGGAGGATAGACCAGGCGACACAGTGGCTGGTATGAAGTATTCCGGTCAAGATACGAGCAGTACAGTTAAGGACATATTTGTCGGCGGCATGACCCTCGGGGTATTTGTTCTTCTGGTCGATCAGCTTCTCTGTACAGGGCAGGCTATGTTAGTTTACAGGTGGCAGAGAGGTAGGGTGTCCGAGGGTGACGAACTGATATCCTTCCATATGTAGACGTTGTCAGCCATGATGGATGAGGTGACAAGAGCAGAGGTCTTTGCTCGTCTGGAGGTTTTTTTGTGATGGCGGGTGGTGGTCGTCCAAGGTTTTAGGATGATGAAAAGAAGAGAGAGTTGGAATGAGAAGGGTATTTCGAAAAAATTGCCGTCACGTACTTATCACCGGAAAGGAACAACTTGCAGTCTGGGCTTTCATTGTCTCAGCATTCACTTGCTCGCCAGACCCATATGAACACTCGGAGCCCACTTAAGGCCCGTGCCGGCATACCGCCGTAGAGCAAGGCCCCCAACATTCACTTCAGGATAGAGCTGATGCTCGGCGTGGAGCTGTTGGAATAAGTTGCTCCCGACCTGGTGTGGGTCAGGCAGGTTGCTCTTAGGGCTCCTGTCCCGAGCCCTCACAGGTCGGCTAGGTAAATATTGGTCTTGTTTGCTCTTGTGTGCAGAGCTCTCATCGGTGGCTCTGTCAGTGAGAAATATCGGCGTTAACAGGGGATCAAGATCATTCCTGGTGCACCTATCTTCAAAGAGGGGGGAGACAATTCGGCATCATCCAATTGGGAAATTCCAATCATACAATCACACAATTACACAGTGAAGTGAGGTTGATGTCGTCGTCGACCAGTAAAATTCGATCACTCATGGCAGACCGCGAAAGGGGATTAATGGGCCTTTTAAATATCTCTAAAGGCCTTTTAACTACCCGGTATCTTTAAACACTCACCTATCGACCATCTTTTAAGGCCTAATAAGTACTTCTCAAGGTATGGTTTACAATATACTATAGCTTTTATGTGTCAGTTATTTGTGCGGTAAGGGTGCCGGATCAATATCATACCTATCCTTGTACCTTCTTTCCGATCTTGCAGTTACATAGCACGGAGGCGACAAACCTGGAAGATGATTACAAAGCCACAGCAATTGCACGGTGAAGCTCTTTAGGAAATCAATGTCTTGGATTCACTCAAATACCTAACTGAAACTCCCTGTGGTATGCCCTCTGCTAAACAGCAAATGACTTCTCAATAATCCGAGATCTATTATCAACCTCACTTGCATTAATTACTTCCCAATCCTCTTCTACACCGTCAACTGTTCCTTGAGATCAAGAATTAGGTACTATAACGTCTTTTGTTAGTATACCTATCCATGTATGTACCAGCTGAGGGAAACGTACCAAAGTCCTCCACGATGCACTGAAGCTTTTTCTCATCATCTTGATTCTATTTCTCGCCATCTCCCATCTTCTCAGTAGCCTCCATCGCCGCCTCAAATTATTTCTCCCAGATGTTAGCCAACTCCTGAGGCATTGCCATGATCTTATGCATCAACTCCTGACAAATCTTCGTAAGATCCTCGAACAACAGCTTCTTCTGCAAGTGGAAACCCATCATCATGCCCTCGGCGAGGGTCTTGACTGATAAAACTGGATCTGTGTCACAATCGAGGATCATGACGAGACGACGCTCTAAGAACATGTTTGAGGAGGGAATTGTATGAAAAGATGCTTGTTCAAAGAGACAAGGTTAAAACACCTATATAATACAGGCTCATGGCCTGCAAAATATAAGCGCGTAACGCATGAACTTTGTTCAAGTTCACAATTGGTGGTGGGAGAATATAGCGATTCGGTCTCTTCAAAAGAGACACGACAGCTCGAAGGTCATTGATGGGGCCATAAAAATGAATATGTCTTGTAGATTTCTACTTGGCCTCAACGGCCGGGAAACTCTCGATGTTATCCGTAGCGACCATTTCCCACTGCATCTCGATCTCAATTTCTTCCTTTGGCTGGACGACCCCTGAGGGTTACATTTCATGTCAGCTTTATCAACGTTCTTGCTCACCTCGAACGTTTGTGGCGGACTTACCAAAACCTTCCAGGACCTGCTCTAATGTGTAGCTCCTCGATTCTGGCCATAGCGGCCGCGAAAAGGGTTTCAAAGATCTTGGCAATGGTAGGAGGTTCGATCAATGCTATATGGTGAGATTGACCCTGCATGTTGAGAGCATCGCTACGGAGCCCGTCGATCGACATCTTGTGCTTGGTGTATAATTCGTCGACGATGGTGTTGGCGGCAGCTTTAATGACGTCCCCGGGGCGTGTAATCTCTTGATCGTCATCTATAATGTCCAGACGGGCACCTGAGAGAATGTTAGTGTCAAGGTCGACAGAAGATGGAAAACAAGGTCGCACGTAAAGGCACTTACGGATCATGGACCAATCGAAGGCGTTCATCACTGCGACTTGCTGCGGTGATTCCATTACAAAACGAGTAAGAAGTTGATGAAATGGAAGGGAGGTAGCAATGGACGGCAGGCTTGACGACTGTTAGTTGAGCGAAGGAAGGAAAAAAGAGCAGGAGGGTACCAAGACGGCGGAAAGCACCTAATTTGTACTCCTAGGGCCAGATAAATTCTGTCATCAGTGGGTCCAGCAAGCCCGATCATCACCTGTGAGGAGATCTGATGGAGGTGATAAGGATCATCCGAAGCAAAGGTCGGCCTCTCATTATCTTTGTTCCGTGTGATCAAAAGTCAGTATTGCTCCATCATGGAATCGATGGGTAGATATCAGACTTGAAAACCAGTGTACAGTGAAGTTGGAAAAGCTTTTCAAGTACCTATCTATACAACAAGAGAAATATACGGTAAGGGAATCAGTGTCAAGATTGCAGTTCAAAATGTGGTCAATATCATCCTTCATCCGTGTTGTGTTGATTGTTGAAATCTGGCAAAGCTTCAATTGTGAAACTGCCTTTGGAGTAACGACCCGATGTCCTTCTCTGCTAATATCATTGAAACTGGTTTCATATAAGCGGCGGAATAAAAGTCAACGACTTACGGCAGTCCAGTCACTCTGGTCAGTCTAGCCGCAATCCTCATATCTCAGTCACACTTCTACCACTTGTTTCGTGACAGGTTGTTCCGTTGTGGTCATGGACTCCCTCTTCATTCTCAAAGGGAATACCTAGGTTTCTTGGGCCTGCGTCATAGCATGTACGTGTGGGAGGCAGCGGAAATCATGCCAGTCACAGCTCCGCACACCTTGGGTCATGTGGTTACATACAGTGAGGGACTTTGGGAGAACATCCAGACTGTCATTTCCAGGGAAATCCGATGCAGATTTCGGAAGACATACTGCCAAAAACTGAGGAAGATTTCTCTTCCTATCTTCTACATTCACACCCCTCAGTCTTCCAATGAACCTGAAGCATGTAAGCGCCGACAGAAAACAAAAATTGAAAATAAAACGGGTGGTAAAAATTATAGGTACTTCGGTACATTAAGCTCGTATTTTCAGGCTCTCCGGCGGAATAATTATAAAGCATAACTTTTTGCATATCTTAACATTTACCACTCCGATCTTTAAAGCCGAAATTATGATTATTTGTGTGCCATCGTGTCACGAACCAACCATATAGCAAGGCCAGGAGAAGACTGCAGCTGATCACGTCTACTAATTGGAGGCAGGAAACAAGATAGCGGGGTAGGACATGGCTCACTGCTTAGCAAAGGTGAGCCGGATCACCACGCTCACCAGGTAAGCGTAGTGAGCGCCAGAGGATCACCACGGATCACTGGTAAGCGGGAGTAAGCTAGGTACGAAGGTACTTAGGGATTCACGGTCTATATATACGGAGGAACTAGACGGCTCGTAGATAGTTCCGTAATATACAATCACAGCTTATATTCACGGTATCTAGTGTTTACATTAAGATATCTTATTATATACGGTTTAGCTACACCGATCCAATATCTAGAAGTTCGCCTTCAACCGGTATCCCTTTCAGAGGTTCTGGACAGGGGATCGTCACAGGCGGTGATTTGCGGCGGTATATAGGCGCGTCAAACGCGGTTTTTACGACATAGCAAATATTCTTTAACTACATCCGCTCTAAGCGGGCGTCTGCAGCAAATCTCCTATCTCTCATAAGCTTTTTCGACCGACAAGGTATCCCTGGGTGAGCTCTAAAACCCTCTAGAACCATCAACGATACAATATAAACACCAAGAAGTCGTCATTAGTATCGCTATCCAAATCACAGTTTTTAAGCGGATGACCACGGTTTGAAACCTAGCTTAGGATAATCGATGACCCTATTTCGAAGCTGCAGAGTTCCGAACCGGCGGTCAGGTTCGCATTACGAGAGAATAAATGGTTGTGTAAATAGATTCAAGCTTATTCAATACACAGCAGAGCAAGCAAGAGGAACAAATATATAAAGTCTACCCCCTTCGGCCAAATGTAGCAGTGATAGTGCCGCTGTTGACTCCCACTTGCTGGCCACTATTATTGTTTCCAAAGGTGATTGTGGTTCCCTGGTCTGCTCGGGCATTTGCGGCTGCTGTCTGGATCACGGAGAGCAGTTCCTCAAACAGCATGCGCGATTCATGCAGTACTTTCTTTTCCATCGCAACCTGCTTCGTCGCGCTCGTCTGATCGGCGTCCGTTTCACCCTCGCCCGGCTCTGCTAGAGTAAGTGCTACCAGCTGAGCACTAACTTCGGCCGACTGATCGTTTGTCGCTGTGATTGCATTGTTAACCGCCGTCTCCTTCGTCGATATTATCGTCTTGATCTCTTCGGCCGCTTGAGCCTGCTGCAGGGAGCTGTGTCTAGAACTCATTAGTGCCTATCCGTCTGGGCCTGAACTTTCACCTACAAGGTTGCAATGCTCGTTACCGAGGTCAGCGTGATGTTGCATTGCTGAAGCTGCTTCGATATGGATTTGATGTGGTCCTGTCTGAAGATGCCCAGAGTTGCGCGGTCTCGCCAGGAGAGCGTTCCATCTGTGCTGTGCCGGGTCCAGCGATCGAGAGAGGTCTTGAACCTTTCGCAGGAACTTTTGCAGGAAGCTATCGTAGCTTTCGACTGGGTAGTAATAGCATCGCCCAGGGATTCCCACTGCGAGTCCGTCACAGCCCCCAACGAGTTAAGAGCAAGTTCCACTGATTGGAGATTGTTAGTGAGCGCCTTCACGGTATTAGGTGCGTCGGCAATGTTCTGCAAGTCCTCTACCAAGAGTCGCACGCAGTGCAGCGTTGGTGCGACAATACCCACGACGCCGGCTGTGATACTGAGAGGATCCATATTGGAGTTCCGAGGATTAACACGTCAACCAAGCTGCCTCGTTGATGCTTACAGAGTGGAAGAAAGCTGGAACCACTGAAGATTAGGCTTGAGTCGCTTAATATATAGCAAGTAAAAAAGTGAAAGACTGGGAAAAATTGGGCGCGTTGGACATTACAAGCTGGGCTGAGCAGCTTTAGACTTGCATGAAGGCGGTCGAGATGCAGCTTCCGGCTTGACTCTGATTTGCGGAACGGTTTTTGTGGAGGCAGTGCAGTGTCAAGTTTTGTCTGGACTTGCGACCGGCAGGGGGATCAATCTCTGCAGAGAGCAGGTCGGACCAACCAAACCGACTGCAGAGATGTCTGCCTCTTTTCTTCAGACGGATTCCCTTTTACAGTTGAGGCTGAGTAATACGGCGATACGCCCGCCAATGACCGGCATCGAATGCCATGAGAAGAAGAATTGCCAAGCAACCCTGTAAATATAAAAAATGCCCACTTCCGATCTTCGCCTCCATCCACGAGGTTACAAAACACACAAATGGCTCGATCTTGACGCTACTTACCTCATCGTAAAACCCAAGTTTTCTCTACGCTTCCGCCACGCTGACGAGCTCAGGATAGAAAGTGCAATGTCAGACAGTTATCGTTTCGGCGACTATAACAATGGTTCCCAGGTGGGGACCAACAGGGGGACGATCTACAATACTTTCCTGCAGGCGCCAGGTAAGATTACCAGAGCGCTGTGAGAGTCGAGGGGTACACCGCTAACTTCCCCAGAACGATCAGAAACCCCGCCGCGGCCATTCGCGACCATCCCCTTCTCCCGCGATCCCGATTTTGTCAACCGCGGAGACATTCTCGAGCAAATCGACCGGCGATGTTCCGAGCCCGCCGCTCGTGTGGCCCTCGTAGGCTTGGGCGGTATCGGCAAGTCGCAGCTGGCCATCGAGTTCGCTCACCGGATCACTGAAAAGCAGCCGGACATATGGGTATTCTGGGTCCACGCTGGAATGTATGAGCGCGTCGAGGATGGCTTCAGGACGATTGCCAACACCGTCAAGCTGGCCGGCCGGAACGAGCCCAAGGCCAACATCCCACAGCTTGTGTACAGCTGGCTGTCCAACGAACGGAACGGCAGATGGATCATGATCCTTGATAGCGCTGACGACCGCGATGTGTTCGACAACGCGAATATTGCCCACGGCACGACCAGCGGCAATGAGCGCGAGAGGCGGCCGTTTGCGACATACCTACCGCAGAGCCAAAATGGATCGATTATTGTCACAACACGTAACAGGGAGTTAGCATTCAGACTGACCGGGCGCCGTCAAAATATGATCGAAGTCGGACCGATGGCGCAGACAGATGCCCTCACACTCCTGGAGAAGAAGCTAGGATCGCCCGCGGATCTAGATGTGGCGGCCGATCTCGTACAGGCGCTCGACCTCGTTCCGTTGGCCATTAGCCAGGCTGCCGCCTACATACAGGCAAGGGCGCCGCGGAGCTCGCCCGAGAAGTACTTAGCTGAGTTCCGGAAGAATGAGCATAGAAAGAGCAGTCTTTTACAGTACGATGCTGGGGACCTACGACGGGATGGAGGCGCATCGAACGCGGTTCTTACCACATGGCAAATATCTTTTGACTACATCCGGTCTAAGCGGCCGTCTGCGGCGGATCTCTTGTCACTTATGAGCTTTTTCGACCGGCAAGGTATCCCTGGTTGGGTTTTAGAACCTCCTAGAGTTACTAAAGAGGATATTCCAGGACGGCGTATAGACGAGGACGGAGATACAGACTTTGATAACGGCAGAAGTGCTACAGATGGTGCCGTAGATGATGACATGGATGGTGACACAGATAGTAACCTCACGGATGATAGTGCAGATACCACTGATTATGGATTCGATGATGATGTGGCGATGCTGAGAGACTACTGCCTCATAGCGACGACTGAGATAGACGAGTTTGAGATGCACGGGCTTGTGCAGTTCTCAACGAGGAAGTGGCTGGAACAATGGGGGCAGCAGGAGACGTTCAAACAGAAGTTTATCGAGCGAATGGCAGCGTTATTCCCAACTGGAGACTACAAGAACTGGGCGACTTGTCGAAATCTCTTCGCACACGTTCAAGTGGCCCTCGGTTACCGACCCAGCGAGAATAGGGAGGAAATATGGGCGACGCTTTTGTATAATGGGGGTTGGTTTGCATGGTCGCAAGGGAGATACGAGGTGGCACAGCGGATGGTGGGCAAAGCGAGACGAGTTCGCGAGAATAGACTGGGAAAAGAGGATACGGCGAGTCTAGGTAGTATGTCACTGTTTGCTCTGGTCCTTTTGGACCGAGGCCAGTGGGAGGAGGCCGAGAAGCTGGAGGTGCAGGTGATGGAGACTCGCAAGACCAAGCTTGGGGCCGATCACCCAGATACGCTGTCGAGCATGGCCAACCTAGCGTCGACATTTTGGAACCAGGGCCGGTGGGAGGAGGCCGAGAAGCTGTTTGTGCAGGTGATGGAGACGAGCAAGACCAAGCTTGGGGCCGATCACCCAGATACGCTGACGAGCATGGCCAACCTAGCGTCGACATACAGGAGCCAGGGCCGGTGGGAGGAGGCCGAGAAGCTGTTTGTGCAGGTGATGGAGACTCGCAAGACCAAGCTTGGGGCCGATCACCCAGATACGCTGTCGAGCATGGCCAACCTAGCGTCGACATTTTGGAACCAGGGCCGGTGGGAGGAGGCCGAGAAGCTGTTTGTGCAGGTGATGGAGACGAGCAAGACCAAGCTTGGGGCCGATCACCCAGACTACGCTGACGAGCATGGCCAACCTAGCGTCGACATTTTGGAACC